TAGCAGCATTCTAAAACGGGAAAAGATACATTGCTAAAACACTTCATGTTTTTAAACAGGAAAACATATATAAGCTATTTCTGTGTCTTTGAAAAGCCTGAATTAGGTTTTGGCGGTTTAAAATTTTTTTTTTTTATTAAAGATATTAGATTTGTATTTCCCAAACACCAAACGGCCTTACACTTCCCACCTGCACTGCTGCCGCCCCAGAGTGCCGGCTGTGAACCTCAGACGTTGGCTGCTTTGATGTGGAATTGCTATGGCACTGTTTCATTCTAGAGGATGCATCCCACAGCCATGAGAGTGTTTAATAATTGTCGTCAATCAAAATGTGGACAGTGTCTCCTTTCTACTTTTTATAAAAGCCATATTGCCCACCTCCATATGTAGGAAAATATCCCTGTTGGAATATGATTCCAACTCCTGCCAATTTTTTTAACGCCCTGATGAGATTTATTACTAGCATATTCTCTTTCTCTTGCTCTAGGAAAATTATATAATTCTTCAAGATCTGTCATTTTCCTGCAAATATAAGGTGACTGTCCAACCCATACGGCCAAAGGGTCACTCAAAGGCAGAGACCGTTTTCTTCGCCACTCCGCCATGTTCCGCTCTTAAGGGGAAAAGCCACAAGCATGTTAGTTGCCCTGGCGAAGCAGGTACGTTTCTTCCTGATGGACTTCCACGTCTAGGTCTAAGATGTCAGCACCACTTGAAAACATTCCCAAACCTTGCTTCATAAGACCCTAAAGACTAAAAGTGCCCCTCTTTCTAAGTTGTAAAATGATGGCCGAATTTGGAGGGAATATATGTAGGAATGTTTGCATTATTTTATAACCTTAACCACATTGGAAAGATGTCCTTTGTGGGCAGTATTATCTCTTTGGAAATGAAGGCAAACATTTAGATGCTGCTCGTGTTTCAGCAAGCTTTGGCATACGTTGTTTCATTTTTATCCTACCGCTTTGATGTATGTGTACACATTTCTTTCTGCATCAACCCACCAAACCTCAGGTCTGCTCCTTGCACCACCTTTTCATTGCCAAAGCCCCTTTCTTGCAGTAATGACAAATACCCGGGGCTCTTTAAATGCCCTGGATTTAATAACTTTTCTAATAGCTTCAATTTTGACCCTTCTCACTGCAGCCATTGCTGCTCCTTAAGGGTGAGTCTTGCCAGATTCTAAACTCCTTCCTTTCTGCCATTCCCAAAGCAGGGTTCTAAAAATAATCCCCAAAGCATTAGAGGAAGCATTTAGCACAAAGTTATAGAAATGAGATTCCTACCCACCTATTCCCATTTGTCAAAAGGGTGATGTCTTGAGCCCATGCTCAAAGAACGAGGTCAGACTGCTGCATCCTTGCCACAGAATGAATGCATGGCCACCTAAGATCCCTGCAGCGAATATAAAATCCATCCCCCTTCATGCTTTCTCAGAAGCCTAACCCCAGTCTTCGTTTCTGCATTGCCACAGGTCATGCTCTTTCCAAAGTGTTAGCCAAGCCGGAGAACCTTTCTGCTTCCTTCATTGTCCAGGACTTCAACATCACTGGCCACTTTTCTTGGAAGATGGCCAAGGCCAATCTCTATCAGCCCATGACTGGATTCCAAGTGACCTGGGCCGAGGTCACCACAGAGAGCAGACAGAATAGTTTACCCAACAGCATCATTTCTCAGTCGCAAATCCTGCCTTCAGTAGGTACCGCCTCGTGTGCCGTGCCCGGGCTGTTGCCGTCGGTTACCCATTTTTAGTTATCGTCAGAGGTGGCGATCTCTGCCCACTGCCTGCTGCGCCGTGGAGCATGCAGACTTCTTTCTGCATTCTCGTCTCCTGATTGCGCCATGTTGCAGGCATGGCCACATCACGGGTGTTGTGAACAGTCAGGAAGTCGCGTGAGCTGTCATCCAGGCCAAGTTTGACTACTGGAGCCGGCTCTTGACTAGATCTCATCCTGTCTATGTTACATGCAAGGGACTGAGCCATTTTCTTCCATCCTTGTTAGCTCCCTGTCTCTCTGGTCCAAGTGGACGTGCCCTGTTGGAAGCATTGAATTGGGGGAAAAACAGCTAAAAAGAAGCTTGTTGTCTGTCTTTCTTTTCCCCCTTCAAATTTGCTAGTGCCTGTAATGAGCTGGCCTGTCTTCCAGGGCACTCAGTTCCTTGGATTGAAAAAAACATCATGTGTGGGCTTTTACTCTAGCTGAAAATGCCCTT